GCGCCCCCCGGCGGCCCCCCACCCCCCCGGGGGGGGGGAGCCATGCGCGGCGCTGCCGGCGAGGCTGAGTCACGGGGCGGCCTGCCTGCCGCGGCACGTGTGGGCCCACAGCCGTGACTCAGCCCCGCGGCTGCCAGCGCTCGCCGCCAGCCCCGCAGCTCCTACTTCTCCCCGGGGCTTTGTGCCGGAGCCCCCGCGGGTGAATCAGAGCCAGCTTTGTGCCGGGCCCCGGGGGACCGTGGTCCCGAGCGGAGGGAGGGTTGGCTTTTCTCTCTGAGCACTCAGCATGGCAGGGCCTCTGCGAGGGGAGGAGGAGGAGGAGGGGGACTGCACACAAAGGGGGGTTAAGAGGCATCTCCTGGTGCGGGTGGGAGCAAGGATCTGTCCCACCAGGGAGGATCGCGCTGCCCTGAAGCGCAAAGCAAAGGAGCTGGCGTTCGCTTTGCCGGTTTGTACCTACGGCACAGGAAGCCAGGTTGGAAAAAGCAACCGAATGGCTCAGGCATGGCCGGCGGGTCCCGTGCGAGGGCCGGGTACGAGGCCGGGGTGGGGGGAAGGAGATGGGAGCTCCTGCCTCGCTCCCTGCAGCCGCAGCCCCAGGGCCACCCCAGCCCCAGTGCTCGCACCGCACCGGCAGGAGAAACAAAACAAGCATCTCCAGGGAGTCTGTTTGGAAAATACCAGGTTTTATTAGACAGGCTGGTGTTCAAGCTGACAGTTTTATCCTAATGCACGCGATCACGGGCATCTATGTGGGCCTGTGTCCCAGCTCCCTCCCTCCTGCGATGCTCTCGGGCGAGATGCTCACCCCCCCGGCACCGCGACTGCGGGAGCTTGGTGTTTCTTGGCAAAACGAAAAGGTCTCCCTGCTCCCCATTTCCACCCCCAGGTTCCCAGAGCTCTCCTAAGAAAGCTCGGAGAGAGCTGGGCTGGGGACCGCAGTCCTCTTGGGACCGACAGCCACTTGGATCCATGGGAGAGGAGGCATCTCCGTGTCGGCATCTCCCTGAGCCAGCGCGGAGCGGAGTCAGCGCACATCACAGGCAGCAGAAAACCCAGCTTCGGACCACGCTGCCATCGCTTTGGAAAGAGAACCCTAACGTACGATATCGGGGAAGGAAAAAAGGTGTTGGCTGTCACAGAGGAGCCCCATCCGGGACACCCAGGGCTTTGCATAGGGCGTGCGGGTGCTGAAGGGAAGAGAAAGGGAGGAGAGGAGGCAACGAGTGCTGGAGAATAAAGCAAAAGAAAAGGAAAACAGAGAAGAGATGGGGAGAATGATGGGAGCGGCCTGAGAGCAGAGCGACGGTGCCTTCGGGTTCAAGGCCGTAAGGGAGGGTCAGAGCTCCTTCCTGGGACAGGGACCTTACCCCGAGTACCCCAGAGCCCACGGGCTTTGGGGGGACGGGGCAGCAAGGAAAGAGATGGCGCGATACGGCGCTTGCAAATAGAAACGTTTGATGGCCATGACAGTGACACACAGCGTGACGGCAGGAACAGTGACAATATTAGCCTGTTTCTGTCGGCGTTTCTATTCCATTAGCTCTTAAGAAAACCATGCAGACTAGCCTGGCAGCGAAGAGTGAGAGGTGAGGAGGAGCAGGTGAGCCAGAGAGGGACACCAATGAGCAGCGGGATCACGTACAAGAAGGAAGAAGGAGCAGCAGCGGAGCAGGGCAGCGGCTCCGGGGCAGGTTTGAAACCTCACAGCGCTGGCTCACGAGCACATCACTTCTCTCCGGGCTGTTCTGGCTGCTGCTGGCTCCGATGCTCTGCTTGCCTTCATCGTACCACCAGTCCCCTCTGCGCTGTGGGCAAAATCCTTCTGTATGAGCCATGCCCCTTCCCATGCTTGGACGTAGATTTGGGTCCCATCTTCATTAGCTCAAAGGTAGGGTCCTACCACGAAGCAGAGGCAAAGAGCATGGAAGTCCCTTGGCGTTCCCCAAAACTCACCTGGACTCGAGGGGACCTCTTCTTCGCAGCACCTGGCATCAGTGCCGGGGACATGGAGCTCCCTCGGACCTTCTGCCTTAGCCCGCGTCCTGTTGGGCACGTGGAGACGATGGGCGCTGCCCTTCACACCCTTCCCATTGCAACAGAGCCTTCCATTCCCAGCTTTCTCTTTCCCTCTTTCATTCCTTTTGCCTTTTTCTTGCCTCATGGCACCTCCACGCCTTCTCGTTCCTGTCACAGGTAAGTCCCTCTGCTCCAGAGGTTTCCTGGAGAGCAGCGCTGGCTGTGGTCGTTTGGCAGGAGGAAGGAGAAAGGACATTCAGCAGGTTGTTGGTGGGCTTGAAGGCACCGGTCTCCATCCAGGGCAACATTTACCTCTTGGTTGGTTTGTGCTTGGCTCGGCAGCTGTGCTGGCTGTGAGGGCCAAGTGACGAGGCCGCCCCTGATCCCCCGGCTTTCGCTGCCAGGTTTCAAGGTCAGCTGTCCACAGGGAACCTCACGCTGCTCGGGTGCTTCCGAAGCAGTACTCCTTCTCCTCCCAGGACTGAGCACCGATGCACAGAGACAAGCCAACCAAATCATGGCTAAAATGGGGGAAGTTTGGCGAACAAGCCGGACGAACCTGCCTGGCTTGTCCTAGGGAGAAGAGATCAGCCCATGGGCAAAAAGGATGTGGCCAGGGACGCCCCGTTCCTGCCTCCCTCCACAGAGCACAAAAACACGGGGGTCTGACTGAGAAATCAGCAACACGGACTTGAACAAGGTCAAACTGCCAAACCCTTCGCCCTCGGAGCCCTGCTGATCCTCAGGCTTGACTTGCCAGCGTGGGTTTTTGAGGTTGGTGGCACAGGCAGGCACCAAATGCCCTGTCCCTGTGCTGGCCCAGGGGGAGGAAAACCTGCTCACGGCTCCTTGTGGGACTGTGTGATTTGGGGTGCTGGCCCTCCTCCTCCAGCACAGCTCAGCCAGTGCCGGCAGCTCCTTTCCAGCCCACTTCTTCCTCTGACATGGACTTGCAAATTCCACCATGGCTACCTGTCTGGAGCTACAAACGCCCCTGCGAAAGCTCCTTCTTAAGGCGAACACCCAGGTGAAGGCTGCAGAAGCTCAGCTCAGCTGTTATGCGAAAGGAGAACTCACCAGGCGACCTAAAAGCCTCAGAAAGAAAAATAAGAACAATTTTTTGTAGGATGTTTGTGCCTGAAAACAACAGCCGGGACCTGGCCTCTCTTTCCCTGCCCAGCGCTTTGCCCCCGGGGCTGCCGGTGATGCCCCAGGTTAATGTGTCACCGCTCTCCCCTGTGCTCGCACGTCGTGCCCTCGGTCTCGCTCCCTGCCGGCTTCGGGGATGCAGAGGTTGAAATTCCTGTTCACGCATTCTTGGCACCAGTGAAAAAGCAGCTACAGTTCTAGCTCACCGTGCATTGCTCATACTTACAGCTTAAACATTGCCTTCTACTTGAAAGAACAAAGATAAAATGTCAGGAATTCACAGTTTTTATTCTCTTTCTTATGCCCACCCATCTTCCCCTGCCATCGATGTCAATGACTCAAAGTCCTCATCGTACAGTAGCCTTTGCCAGTGTGGCACTCAAAGGGTTAACAAACCGTGGCTTCTTGGACAGATAAGACATAAGCTCATTCACCGGTAGGAACACGTGGACGGTTATATTACAGAACACCTTAGGGCTTCCTGTAGCGATTCTTTGGGGTTTCGCCACAGCCGGTGATGTCGCAGGAGAGAACGTTGGGCTTCTTCCCCAAGCCGATGCTTCCCAGGAGATCGGGAAGCTCGCGAGTGATGGCCTTCTCGATCTTCTCTAGGAAACACCCTCCCATGTAGGAACACTGCTGAGACAGCAGCTTAAAACTGGTGATGGGGTTGATGCCAAAGAAGTCCTTGTAAGCCTCGCGGTTGGGGAGGTCAAATTTGCTGACATTGGTCTTTGCCAGAATGGACTTAAAGATAAAGAACTTGTCAGGATCTTCCACAATGTCCCTGAACACCAGTTCTCCATCGCTAAAGAAGGTCATTTTGTCCTTGTAGGTCTGTAGATAGCGATCGACCAAAAGGGCGTGGATGCGCACCCGGATGGCGTGCTGGCGTATGAAGGCGATCTTATTCTCCATCCTGTTCTCGATCACCTGGTTGAGATCTTCCAGGAGTGATATCTCTTCTTTGAGGAACAGGTCTTTGTGGGTATCTGGATGGTACTCCTGGGGCCAGAAGGAGCTAACGTACACCCTGGGTGGCTCTGTGACGTTGATGAGAGGAGCCAGGCTCCAGAATAAGGCACCGTAGACTCTCATGAGCTCCTGGGTGGCCAGGCTGTCGGCTTTGTTCAAGATGATTCGGATCTGAGACTCGCGGCCCTTCAGCTGGCGAAACAGCATCTCCAGCTCCAAGCCCACGTCCAGCTTCGTAGGGTCAAAGACAACGAAGATGAGATCAGCTCTGTCAATGAACCATTGGCACACGTCGTTGAACGGGTAACCTTGAGGAGAGGAAAGAGAGAAATCCAGCAGAAATGGCCAGCGCAGGATGAGTCCCTTCAGGTCAAGGCATAGATAAACCTTGAGCCTGCCGTGTCTCACGCCCCGTCTGGGTTGGACAGGGTGTGAGACACAGCAGACTTCCCATGCAGCCCAGAACCTGTTTCTCATGTGCTGAAAACACTTCAGAATTTCTTGGCATGAAAACCCATCCCTGTGTGGCTGGGCCCGCGTGTCTCCCTCAGCCTCACCTCCAAACCTTCCTTCTCCCTGTTGCTGGCCATAGGTTCCCGCTGCTCCTGTGAGCAGATATCGGCCGCATCATTGCTTTCCCCAGTGAGCACCAAGTGGGTCAAGAAGCCCAGCTGATCTGTCCTGGCATCCCAGGTGCTGTGGGGATGGTGCTGTAGCACCAGCCATCGGCAAAGCCTGGCTCCAGGGGTGACAAACAGGGCATTAAATGCTGAGCCAAGGCAGGCAATCAACAGCCCGAGGAGTCCCCAGGAAACACCTTGCCAAAACGCCTGACCGTCACACCTCCAACAGCAGAAACGGCTGCTCTAGCTGATGACAGTCGGGTATGTTCCCCAGGCCCCAGCTGCTGCCATGGGCAGACAAACGCCACCATCCCCTCCAACGGAAGACCCCTTTTGTAGCCCTGCTTCCCCGTTGTGCTTCAGCCATCTTTGTCATCTCACATCATTACAACACGTTTTCTGGAGTCCCTTAGATGAACCCAGTTAAACCCCTACCTCGTTCTTGCTGCTTGCGGTTTTCAATGATGCCCGGTGTATCCACGAAGGTGACTCGCTCCAGCAGTTTGTGGGGCACCTCGATCCCTATCAGCTTCTCCAAGAAGTTCTGCCCGAACTTCTCCAGGGGTGAGAAGGAGCGGGCGCTGTCAGCAGCCATCACAATGCCCTCGATGGTCTTCAGCTTGGGGCCGTGCATGATGACGGTGAATTCGGAGGTGGTGGGTTCTGCCCCTGCCCAGCAACGAGAGGAGCAGCAGAGCTGTGAAATCCATGCCAGGCAATGGACATGACAGGGCTGGCCCGGGACTAGCCGGGGAGCTCAGGAGCATCACTTGCTTGCCAAGAGATGCCAGGGGAAGGCAAGCAGCGGGGCCATGAAATTCTTGCCAAACCTCTTGAGAACATGCTAGCAGGGCTGTTTTCTGTGGGGACTGGTTGTTCTGGAAGTGGCCTGACTGCACAAGACGCCCTGGAGAACCACCTCCTGGGAGCCCTCATTACCCCGGCACAGAGCTGGCCATGGACATCTGCCCTCAGCTGCAAGATGACATCCATGGGAGCAGGGAGGAGGGAAGGGGAATGGATTTTCTCCTGGGAGGGTGAATTAATTGGCTCCACATGAGGACAGAAGGTGAGAAGACAAGGGCGAGTTGCCCTTGCGGCATGACCGCTGCTCTCGTGGTCGGGGTCAGAGGCGCTGAACCCTGTGCTGCAGGATAGGGATGCTGCAGGGTGAGATGCCCTCCTCCTCCCCACGGAGGGCGGACAGGCCCTGTGCCGCGGCGGGGAACCTCCCCCTCCACGTGGCACTGCAGCGGGGTGGCATGGACCCCAATCGCAACCTCATAGAATCGTAGAATCGTCAAGGCTGGAAAAGACCCTCAAGATCACCGAGTCCAACTGCCTGTTAACCTGTCACTGCCAAGTCCATCACTAAACCATGTCTTCAAGCACCACATCTATCCGTTCTTTAAATACCTCCAGGGATGGGGACTCACCCTCCCCTGGCGCAGCTTGAGGCCGTTTCATCTCATCCTATCGCTTGTTACGAGGGAGAAGAGACCGACCCCTGCCTTGCTACAACCTCCTTTCAGGTAGTTGTAGAGAGCAATAAGGTCACCCCTCAGCCTCCTCTTCTCCAGACTAAACAACCCCAGCTCCCTCAGCCGCTCCTCATAACACTTGTGCTCCAGACCCTGCACCAGCTTCATTGCCCTCCTCTGGCCACGCTCCAGCCCCTCGATGTCCTTCTTGTAGTGAGGGGCCCAAAACTGAACACAGTACTCGAGGTGCGGCCTCACCAGTGTCGAGTACAGGGGCACCATCACCTCCCTGGTCCTGCTGGCCATGCTATTCTTGATACAAGCCAGGATGCCATTGGCCCTCTTGGCCACCTGGGCACAACCTCCCTGCCGTAGTGGGGAGGGATCGAAGAGATGCGGCCAGGAATTGCTGACCGCGTGGGTGCAGAAATGCGGGTGCCAGCACACCTTCGGTGGAGCAGGGAGGGAGCAGTGAGCGTGGTACCTGTGTAGAGCTGGTAGGGAGTGTCGTCCAGCCCGAGGAGGTAGTTTATCATGGAGGATTTGCCGACGCTCCACGGTCCCAGGAATAGCACCATTGGCTTGGAAGTGATCTCCCCATCTGCGGAGAGGGGAAATAACAAGAGGAAGTGAAGAAACAATAGCCGTCGCCGCTGCGCGATTAACTCCCGGCTGTAACGAGCATCCCATCTGAGCGGCACGGTGATGCTGCCGGGGAAACAGCCACCCTTTTGGGGCCACCAGCCATTCGCGAGCCAAGGCATCGCCCAGCGACCGGCCCCGGTGTCTGCAGGAGCGGGACGTCACCATGCTCTGCAGGAGACCCCACTTCGCTGCAGCAAGAGCGAACCTTGTCCGACCTTCTCTGAGGTTTGGTCTTTCTTAGACTACAGAAGGATTTGAAGGTCTTTTAAACCTTGTCTTGGTTCGGTTCTGGTTTAGCCAAAGTGAGTTTGGGGCTGGCTGGGGGGTGGAGTGTTGTTCGAAGGCAGCCACCGCAAAGCACGGGACATGCGAAGGAGGTGGCCATGCTGCAACTGGGCGAATGCCTCGTGCAAAGGGAGCTGGCGTGGTTTAAGGAGCAACACTGTGGCACGGTGCTTGGTAAGCGCGGTGCGAGCCTTGGGCCGGCTGCCTGCGTTGCATGTCCACCATACCCTCACAGGGATCTGCCCCTCAGGTCGTGGCTCCCTGCCCTCCGGTCAAGCAGAGGGTCCCTGCTTTGGGCTTGGGGAAAGGCAGGAGGAGAATGAACTACAGTCCCCAGCCCGCGCTCTGCAGGTCCTGCAGTTTGCTAAGGGGCTCAAGGAGGCTGGCGATGGGCCCGTAAGGACCTGTCCTGATGCCACGCGGTCGGTCTGGGAGCTCGGAGGTCGCCGGACACACATGGCCACTGCCCCAGGAGCGATCCCTGCTCGAGCGGGACTTGTGCAATCAGCCTGTGCCCACACTGATGGACGCCCCCAGCCCCCAGGCAGGCAGGCAGCCGGCAGAGCCAGAGGAGCCCCCGGCCTGTGCCAGCCCCCAAGCCGTGCCCAGGACGGCCGGGAGCCTGCTAGTCAGCTCGAGCCCAAGTCAGGCCAGAAATGGAAGTAAAAACTGGATGAGTGAGTTCCCATTGGTGGGAACCTTCCCCATCCCCATTCGTGTACCCGCACTGATGTAGCCAGATGAACCCGGTGCCAGGAGAACCGTGGTGGCAGATGGCAGAGGGCAGAGCAAGCTGCAGCCACCCTGCCACGACATCAACCCAGCAGAGTCCCCGGGGCGTCTGCCGCCCCTCAGCTGGAGCTGAGCCTTCCCCTGTGGCCCAGGGCCCCCTGGGGGACCCGTGCTGCCCTCGGTACCCTCCCTTTGGCCCCACTCCTAAAGCAGAGCTATTTTCCCTGCGGTGGCTGGGAGACCCCGCTGCTCCGTGGCTGCTGCCCACACAGGAGCCAGCAGCTTTCCAGCAAGCCGGGGATCCATCTCCAAGACAGGGGAGCCGCAAAGCCGATGTGGTACTGAGCTCCTGCTCCCGAGGGTGCTGGAGGGCACTGCATGGCAGGTCCGCACCGAACCCATCTGAGCATGGGTGCAGGAGTCGGGCAGGGCGTGCCAGCCTCCTCCTGCCTGCATCTCCCCATCGCAGGGCCACCATGTCACGGCCGGGGACGGGAATGGCCCGGGGACATCTCTCCACGGGGCAGAGCTGCAGCTCAACCCTCCTCCCCAAAGCAGGGCAGCCACATGCGAACTGGGGGAAGGCCCTGCTCCCTGCCTGCTCCCTGCCTGCGAGCCACGGGGATCCAACGTTGTCTTCTCACACGGGACAAAAACAAATGTTGAAACCTCGGACTTTCATTATTAATCATTCCTCTGTGCCACTCTATCGCTGCTGCTCTGTTCGCTTGCCGGCTTTAATTGGGTTTCGGATGATTATGATGATGATGATTCCCTGTGATGTTGTGCCAGTGGGTTGAGGCGGGTCCCTGCGTGCTCTTTCGTAACAGGTTCCTGGCCAGGCGTGGCTGTGTGAACGCAGGCAGCCCGCGCGCCCCGGCTCCACTTCGCATCCCCACCTCTGCTCCGCTGTGCCGAGGCGGGCAGTGACATCGGCAGCCCCCCTGCTGCGTCACCGACAGCTCGCCGAGCCCATCTCCACCCCTTGCTTTGGGAATGGGGTACTGGCACCCCACGGGCTTTGCGGGCAGTGCCAAGCACGGGATCCTTGCAGCTCTCCGGGTAGCACAGCAGCTCCGAGGATGTGAGGCCATGCATGGGTCCTCCTTGCTGCTGCCCGGGCCGTGGGGCTGGGGGACCAGAGAGCGTCTCCCACCCAGGAGGGTGACATCTGTCCCTGCTACGTCCCTCCGCTCTGTCTGTTCAGCACCGATATGGGTCACCTTGATGGTCTGGCCAGGGGTAAAAAGAGCCGGTCCTTGCCTGCTGCAGGGCAGGGATGGCAGCGACTCCATCACAGCAGCTCCATCACAGCAGCTCTCTCCAGCCACCCTGTGGCTGCTCCCTCCCAGCCCCCCAGCCCAGCCTGCCTCGCTCCCAGCTCAAGCTCATCCCAGCTCAAGCTCATGCCAGCTCAAGCCAGGCACGTCCCAGTGGCGTTCGCAGAAGCGGTCGCATGCTGGTGCATGATCAGGCCCTGCCTGCAAGCAGGGGGGTCCTCAAACCTTGCACCCCTTCATCAGTGGTCCTACTTAAAACACAGCAGCTTAAAACACAGCTTCTCTAAGCTGCCAGGTTTGCAGGGAAAAGAGCATGCTGTGATCCCGCAAAGCACCTGGCAAACAAGGCCAGGAAGGTCACGTCTCCCTCCGCAGAGCCTGCATTTGTCTTGGACTGTTCAGCTCTGAGCTAGGAGCAATTTGGATGCCCGAAAAGGTTTTTTTTTCCTAGAGCAGTGGCTTTCTGGGAGGTTTTTCCATGCTGCTTGCAACGCCAGGCTGCCCTTGGATGGGAGCACTGCTGCTCTGGGCTGGGATTAACCCTGGGCTGGGTATTGTCCCTCCTTGTCCTCAAGGCCGGCAGAATTGCCTGGTGTCGGCTCACCCCCCGTTGTGCCAGTCTGTCCTGAGGACGCTAGGCAAAGTGGAGGACGCAGAAAAACCTCCTTCCTCTCCTTGTTCAGACTGAACCACGGACACAAAGGTCTTGCTCTGTCCTCAAATGACCCGGGAAGGCTAAAACACCTGGGGAGACTCTTCCAGCATTGCCCACGCTGCCACCCTGTCCCTGTACCCCAAACACCGCCGGCCGCTCTGCCTACGGCATGGATGCGCTGCCCGGCGGCCCTTGGAGGGCTGGCCAGCTTGCTCGCGAAAAGCCACGAGTATCCGCACAGCACGTGTGCCCGCAGACGGAGGGACAAGCCACACGTGGCTGCAGACCGCCTGCGCCTGCCTCCGCGTCGTGCTCCCCGCGCGCGTACGCCCACACAAGCAGCACGCGCGCACGCGTGTGTGCGCCTGCAGCTAGAGATGCAGATAAGACAGCTATCGAAATACGCTATATATATCTACAACCCTCTCCGCTGCCGGCATGCTGGTATGACAGGGAGCCAGAGGCCCTCCAGGCACTGGCAGGGCTCTGCCGCGTCCAGGACCGGGGTGTGGAGGAGCCCGTTTCGGCAGGATCCGGCAGGGGGAGCCGTGGGGTAGGACAGAAGGGCCAGAAGATGGGATTTCCCTGCCTCATATCGCAGCAGGGACATTGTCCCCATGGCCCAGCACCAGACCCAGGGGAAGGGCTGGGTGTTGGCTGGTGCTTCTTGGCCCGTCTGCCATCTCCTGATTCTCTGGGGGGGACCTGGCAGCGCACCCCGAGCAGGACAGGCAGGGAGAGGAGCCAGCTCTGGCTCCCGAGGGGGCTGAGGCCACCGCACAGGGGCCAGCCTGTGTTACCGGGACAGCTGCTGCGGGCTCATCGGCTTAAACTGCAGCCGGGGAGGATCAAGGGTGGACGTTCGGGAAAGTTTCTGCACGTAGGAGGGTGAAGGGTGGGAAGAGCTCCCCTGCAGGGTGGGCTATCTGCTGGGCTCCTCCGGTTTGTGCCATGGGTGGGAGATCGACCCACAGGTCCACCACAAACGCCTTTGAACCATCGCTAGAGGAATACGCAGCCTCTTGAGTCTTAACCCAAGAGGGAAAGGTGTCAAAGCCTGGGCAAGCTGGGGTGCACAGAGTCAGGCCGGGGACAGACGAGTGCAGCGACACACGTGCCAAGCTCTGGTAGGGCCAGAGGCGCCGGCTCCAGCAGGTGCCATGGGATGCCGATAACCGGGGTCTGCTCAGTGCCTGGGACGTCTGAATAGGTGAACAGGAAAGCTTGAGGCCAGCAAAGAGCTCAGGCAGCGCTGGCAGCATGCAGGTAGCAGGCAGCGATACCAACCTGTGGCGGAGGAGCCCAGGGTGCGTCCAGGGTAAGCTGTTAGCAGGGGACACGGGGAGAGAGAAAAGGTACCGTGAGTCGAAGGAGGGACGCGGCTGCCTGGGTCTGGCCCAGGCCGAGGAGGGAGCTGAAGACTGGCCCTGGCCTTCTCGTGGGCAGGAAAAGCCAGCGACGGCCACATTCCCAGCAGGAGAGAAGGAGTTACAGTCTGTAAGCAACGAGACCCGCAGCTACCAGGACAAGCGCTAAACCCCGGTCTGCCCTGCACACTGGGAATGTGGCTTGGGGGAGCAGCCCCAGGAGAGCTGCCGCATCTGAGACAGCACCCCAACCCTCTGCCCCGCTTAGCCGAGTTATTGCCTTCCCCAGCAACATTCACCGAGCAAACGGAGCCCAACAAGCTGTGGTTAAGGCAGCAACCAGCCCCGACAAGTGTCCTGACCACCCCAGTGGTGTGGTTACCCGTATCCAGCCATAGGGTGGCTGGTGATGGCAACTGGGAAGTCATTCCCTATACGGACATGCTAATCAGCGCATATACGATAATTAAGGCCACCAGCATGCACCACAAACAGGCACGACTTCACAGCAAGCTTCCCATCACCAGACCGGGAGAGTCCCTCACCCCTGAGCTAGGGACAGTCCCTACGGGGTGACCAAGCAGACAGACGGACCCAGCCGGAGCACGCATGCACCCAGGTGGGATGGCAGAGCAGAGACACGGGAGGACGGCAGGCGGGAAAAAGGAGATGGCACCTGCCAGGCTTAAACAACGCTGTAAGCAGGGGGTGTGGGGTGAGTTTTCTGGGATGCACCCCAACAATTTAGGGTCTTAGGTTGACGGTGGTGGTCGCAGCTCCTCCGGGACAGGTGGTACTCATCTCCCCGGGTGTTTTTGCGAGCTGCGGGGAGCAGAGGGGCTCCTTGGATTACACCGGCTGGGGCGCGCGAGCGGAGCCGATAAGAAGGGAGACAAAATGGAGGGCTGCCGTGTAATGGCGGGGCAAAGGTGCTTGCGATGGCACCCCTCTATATTGGCTTACACCTCCAAAGGTCACACATATTCCATGACAGGCCTGCCCCGCCGCTCTCCCAGCTGTCCCGCTCCTCCCGGCCAGCTGAGCCGGCAGCTCTGCACCCTCCAGCCTCCCTGCTGCCACGGCGGTGGGCGCAGGGGGAGAGGCTGGGGGCATCTCCCGGCTTGCAGGGGCACTACCGATGCGATGAACCCGCTCAGGACAGGGCCACCATGCAGAGGAAGCGGCTGAGAAGGCTCCCTCAGCCCCACCATATCCTCACCTTGTAAAGTCAAAGGGGATCAACCCTCTAACTAATTTGCAGGTTTCTCTAATTACACTGCTAATGAGGGATTGGGAAAAGCTGGATCTGTGAGTATTAAAGGCAAACTGCTGGGCTTTAGATCTTCAGGCTGAAGTTGTATGTGCCAGGGTAGGGTTGGGGTGGCAGAGGTGCTTCAAGGAGTTTGGTGGTAGGAGAAACATCTCTGATGGGAGTATGACCAGGGCCTCTTGTGGTTGAGACAGGGGCTGCAGGCAACACGGTGTCCGTGTGCCCTTCTCTGGTCTGTAAGGTGTGTGTTGGGAAGCTGCGACCATGGGTTACCAGCTCTGGGATTGCATCTGCGCTGCTGGGAGGATGCTGTGTGGGACCCCACGGGGTGAGCTGGGTGCTTGTGCTGGGAGCTGACCTTGGGGACTGTCAGCTGAGGGATGGTTGTTCCTTGGGGTGAAGGAGAATGGGCTGCGGAGAGTTGTGAGGTGAGGCTGAGGAACAGCAGGAGCTGCTGTCTGTGGTGAGTCCTGCTCAGGAGCTGGGTTTGAGTGGCCTTGGGTTGGGAGAACACAAGGGTTGGTGGTTGTTCCTCAGGAGCTGGGTGGGAGGAAGGCAGCAGGGGCCTGAGGAAGGCTTGCTTTCTCCCAAAAAGGGAGCAGGGAGGTGGCTGATCGGGTACGGGATGGCCGAAGGGCAGGGTGGGATGTCCTTAGCACGGAAACGCGCTGGGAACTGAGGCTGGGGGCTGCATCTGGCACTGAACAGCAAAGCGAGCGTTAGAGGCTGGGAGCTCGCCAGCTGCCCCTGTAACCCCAAATGTTCTCCTAGGCAGCATCCCAGGATGAGCTGACAGTAAATGCTGATGCCTGCACCGCCACCAACATGGACCAAAGCAGCTTGGGGAGGAGGTCAGGGTGTTGCTGAGTCTGTGAGCTCCAGGATGGGGACACCTGGGACAGGGCATGGCTGGGCCCTCCTCGCTGCACGGTGCCACTGCCGAAGAGACTGTGGGGCTCCGCACCGGGGTGCCGGCCCTACAGCTCACAGTGCTCCGTCCCATGGCACTTGTCAGTGCTGTGCTGACCACGTGAGGGAGGGGACAGGCTGGCACACAGGGTGGGTGACAGCAGCTGTGGGGTGAGGGTCCATGGGGCACCCCTCCTGTGCTGGCTGCAGCATGGCGTGTTGCTGTGACCCTCCCGGTTGCTCTCCCCCATGGCAAGCAGATCGTGGTCCCCAGCTGCTGGCAAGCAGCACAGAGCGAGGCAGGCACAGGCAGCGTCACGGAGCTGGCTGCAGGAGGCAGCTAGGCATGGCTCGTGTCTCATGGGACCTACAAACGCCCCCTCCAGAACACCTGCGGGTGGGTGGTGGATGATGTCCAGGGTGCTCTGTGTCTTGAGAGGACAGGATCTGGGCTGGTGCTGAGGACTCTACAGCCCTGTCCCTGCCCCATGGGTCCCCTGTGCTCCCCATTGGCTCTGAGCTGGAGATGAGCCGGCTGGGTATGGAGATGTTCAAGCCTGCTTACAAAATGTCTGATGCTAATTTAGGAGTTGCAGTGGGGGTGTCTGGAAAACAGGGGTTCTGCTCTAAGGGGATGTGTCCCAGGGGTTTGCCCAAATGAACGCAGGACCCATGTGCTGATGGAGCAGAGGAGCCCAGCTGCAAAGGGAAGGTCTGTGTGGTGCGGAGGGTGTAACTGGGTCCTGTCTCACCAGGAGGGAGGGCATGGCCACAGGGGGTGTGAGGCCAAAGCCCAGAGGACACCTGGGGAGAGAGGCAGAACTTAGGACAAGGAGGGACCCTGGCAGGATGCTGATGTGGGTATACAGCCCACAGGCAGCAGGGACTCGGGCATCCCCTGCCTGCCCAGCCAAGGCACAGGGGGCATCTGGCCCCGGCTCAGGACAGGGCTTGAGTCGGGGCTCACAGGGGAGTTACCCTGGTGAACAGGGACCTCAGACTTGGGCTTGAGCCATCTGTGCTGGGAAAATGGGTCTGCTTGTGTCATATGGGTCACAAAAGCTTCCTGTAGCTCGTGAGCATCTTTGAGCCCAGGGCTGCACTTTCTTCTTCTGGAGGGACACGTGTACTGCTGGGGCTCAGCCCAAGCCAATGCCTGTGGCCACGGGGACCTGCTCACCTGATCCAATGTGTCTGGTATTGCCAAGGGGTGGCAACTCTAACTCCCAGGATGAGTGAAGGCTGCCGAGCTTGAGGGATACCCTGCCTGCATGGCTGTGTCCTGTACTGAGCAGGAAGGGTGCCAGCTCCAGCCACCCCCAGGAAGCTCATCCCCAGCCTTGAGAGGCCCTAAGCTTCCTTGCCAAGCCTGTTTCGTTGGGTCGTGATCTCTGCTTGGCAGGGGTACAGGGCATTGATGTTGAGCAGGTGGAGGACCCGAAGCAGGCAGGGTTCAATGCTCAGCCTACGCAGATGATCCTGACAGCAGATGGGCTAAGGCAGATGCAGGGAGGCCTGCCGCTGGGTTCACTAGGGCACGGCCTCTAAGCCCAGCATGTTCGTGGCCTTCTTGGGAAGCTGCAAAGGAAGATGAACTACCCGAGCCTTTCCGTGATCTGCTCTCTGCGCTGTTATCTGCATCCCAATGACCTGATGGTGCTGGAGACCCCGGTGCCCGTAGTGTTACCTGTGATCTCGTGCTGCCTCAGCTCGTTGTATCTGTAGGACTGCTCCAGGGGCTTGATGGAGGAGTGGTAGATCTTCCTCAGCCGCTGCAGTACTCCTGCAAGGGCAGAAGCATGCGGACAGGTGAAAGGCAAACCCCACCACCTTGGTTGAGTCCCTCCTAGGTAAGCTGCCGGGCATTCCCTGCAGATCTTGAGGGTGACTCAGCTGTGGATCAAGGGACTTGGCTCACAGTTGAAATCTTGGCCAAACTGATCCCAGTCACGCATTTTGATGCCCCTCCCCTGCTGGGCACTGCCCCCATCTGCTGCCAGACTTGCACGTGCCAGCAGCTGATGGAAGGAACATCTCTCGTTAATGCGGTTTAGCACTCAACACCCGTGATCCCAAAAAGCCCTCCACCCTGATGCCAGGGACCCCTGGCACAACCCCTAAGCTGCTTGCTAGAAGAAAGGAGTTTTTTCCACAGACAGCTTTTATCGCTTTCTTTCCTGTCCAGACTGCCTGTGGGGCCAGCAGAAGCAAGCCTTATAATAGCAAAACCCAATAAATAATTGGAATAAAAATCCCAACCCACTATTACAAGTTGCCCCAGGCTTCTCTGGGCAGGGGTGTGTCTGGCTTGGGCTGATTCGCTATCTGCATCTTGTAGCCTCCTAATTCTTGTACACCTTTGGGGCTGTCTTTAAAATACCTGAAATATGTTAACCCAAGAGCAGCAAAAGGCCTCTTATTGAAGATATGGTTTTGCTGGACCTACAAGAAATAAGATTAAAACCGAAACACTCTAGGGAAGGAAAATCCCATCCGTGCTCTTGGTGCAGCAGAATGGTGAGGAACCTGTTCTGCCGGGATCACGTGGATTGAAGGAGCAAGGTATACATGGCTCAATGCCACCCAGGACCCCTCACCTGAGAAATCATCGGCAGGTTTGTCCTCGTTCAGCTTGAGGGTGCTCTCCAAGTGGGACCGGTCGCGCTTGGTCGGCTCGCTGGCATCTTCAACCTCTTCTGCAGGAAAAAGGCAAGGAGACCTGTTACTGCTGGAGGGGGAATCCACACGGGAGTTCACACAAGCAACTGCCAGGGAGAGGGCATGGGGGAGCACACACCCCCCCGAGCCCACGGACCCGCCGGGCACCTCAGCAGCTGCTGTTGCCTTTGGCGTGCCGTACGGTTTCTCTTTTGCAAAGGCTCCTGGAGGCTTGGTGGAGGCTGCCAGGGCTGTGGCTGCTGAGGGAAGCATCGTGGGCAACTGCTTGGCTCCGAGTAGGGGCCGACGAGGGAGGCACGCCGTGTCTCTGGGGGGAGCGAGGGCTGGCCGCTCGCGGGGAATGCGAAGGACGTGCCTGGAAGGGGCTCCAGGGCTGGGGCGTAGCGCGAGCACGCACGGCACCTGCTGCCCGATGGGGCCCCTGCCTGCCCCGGCGCTTCCCCCAGCAGCTGCAGCTCCTCCAGGGCTAAGCCTCGACTGCGGGCGCACTCTGCTCTGTCTTTCCATCTGCCCACTCCCCCCAAAAACTGCACATTGAGCCAGAGACATGAGGATGTGCAAGGCTGGGGCTGGCTCTTGAGAGACCAGCCAGTTTGACCCATCCCAGCTGCCTTGCCTTTGCCAGTGGGATCATTCCCCCCTGCTTCTCCCGCCTCTGCCCCTGTATCAGGCTGGAGCTCTCTGAATGGGGCCCTGGCTCGGGGTGGCACTGGGGACCCCATGGCTCTGTGCCAGGCCCTGGGAGCTTGAGGCAGCTGCCTCTGCCTGGGGTAGGCACCCCGGTGTCCCCGAGACAGGGAGACAGAGGTGTCCTCGCCCTGGAGGTGCTGGCACACCAAGGGGTCAGTGCAGCTCCAAGTCCTTTTTGATATCGGGAGCTGGGTTGGGCTTTAGTGGGGGTTTGGGGACAGGTCTGGGGACAGAAGTGTGCTGGCTGGCTGGGCTGGGGATGCCTGGGCCAAGCGGGACACCGCCAAGCCCTGGGACTGTGTTGAGTGTCTACCGAGTGTTGGGCTGAGGAAGACCTTTTGACTTGCCAAGTAAAGCCACAGAGACCAAACTGGGTTTCCCTTTCGGCACAAATGGGAACTTTTGGAGCTGGGACATTACAGATGAAAGCAGAAAAAGACTCAGCTGGGTCTGAAGGTCGCTGCCCAACCCGTGGGCCAAAGTCCACAAGCATTTCTAGGAAATCGTGGTAGGGGGTGTCCCTTTTCCTTAGCTAGCCTTTCACTGACCGAACGCGGCCAGAGACAGTGCTTCGGCACTCATCGGTCTGAATTAGTTCTTCACATCTTCCCTACAAGGCAAGGGCTGGTGGACAAGAGACCCACCAGCGCAGGCAGCGTGCACCAAGAGAGATAGGGGTCTGGAGGACTCTGAGGGTGGAGGATAAAGAGCCTTTAAGAGGTCTGTGGGTGCTGAAAGGGGCCTGGATGTTAAAAATCTTATCCGTGTCCACAACCCAGAGAAGAAATCATGGGCTTAAAGTACAGTGAGGGAAATGTCGGCCAGCTTTGGTATCTCTGCGATGAGCGCTTGCATCGCCCGTGGCCGGCCCAGCTGTGCAGCAGTTAGGGGCAGGCATAGGAAGCACAAGCGTTAGGAGAGGGCCATGCACTAGGCGCGGTTTAATGTGCCAAGCTCAGCTCCACCGGGGGTTGATAGTAGGTCACTCTCGCTGCTACAGCACACCGACAAGAAAAGACTCCAACCTATCTGGCTGTGCCGGGGCTCGGTGGCAGCAGGGTGGGTGCTGTGGCCAGGTGGGCTCTCCGTTTCTGCCAGTGATGGCTTGTCTGCAGGGGGGTCTTCTGCTGCTGGTGGGTCTTCCACCACTGCCGGCGGGTCTTCTGCTGCCGGCGGGTCTTCTGCTGCCGGTGGGTCTTCCACCGCTGCTGCGGGGTCTCCTGCATCCCCGCAGGGTGGGTGATGGCAGCTGGCAGGGCCATCCCCGGCTTCTCCCTTGCCAGCAGCTGCTGGTTTGCCACGGCTATTTTTGCCCAAAGGGCCGGCCGCTTCCTTCTCACTCCCTTCAGCTCTGTCCTCTGGTCCTACTGGCCCAGCACCATCTTCCTCAATCTCTTCCTCCTCCTTAGACTCTCCCTCCTCCTCAGACTCTTCCTCGCCTTCATCTTCCTCAGACTCGCCATGTTCATCTTCCTCAGACTCCTCCTGCTCGTCATCTTCCTCTGAGCTCTGCTCACCCCCTTCCTCTCCCCCCTCAGGAGCAGACACTGCTCTTGGCTCCTCCATTTTCTCTTCCCCAGGCTGCCCTTCCTCCTCAGAAGCTCCTTCCTTGGTGCTGGGTTCCTCATCCTCCTGGGCATGGAAGCCATCTTGAGGGCCAGGCCAGTGGTTCCCTTCATGACGTGCTGCCTCAGGGGCGCCCAGCATGGCATCCTCACTGGGCCCTTCCTGGCCCTTCTGCTTGGTGGTCTCCTCCAGCTGGCCATCCCCTGGCCCCAGGTCCCCACTCGGGCCACCCGCCGGCTCTTCCTCCCCCTTGCCACGTCCCTCCTCAGCCATGCCAGGCAAGGAGGCATTGGCAGGGCTGCCATCTTGGTCCTCCTCAGGGCTGCCGTCGGCTGCCTTCTCCTCCAGCCTGGGCTCTGCGGCTGGCAAGGGGCTTTCGGCAGCACCGCCGACATGGTCCGTGCCGGGGCCGTGTGGCTCTAAACGATGAGAACAGCTCAGTCAGTCTTACCCGCGCCGGCACGTGGCTACCTGGGCACCCGCCGGCCCCCCCGCCGCCGGCCCCCCGTCAGCACCGGGGGGGGCCCTGAGGGAAGATTTGTGGCTGTTACCAAGAGGTTTAAATTCTTTCCTAAACTTTCTCTAGTTCCAGCTCAATTTTCTGGCCCTGTCGCAAGAAGCTGGGTGCAAAGAGGTGTTGGTGGGGGGGGCAGAGCCGATGCTAGCAGGGGCCCTATGGCCGCGCTGGCCATGGCTGCCCGGGGCTGTGGCTGCCGCCTGCCGTGAAGCGCTGCAGGAAGGAGGCAAAGCAGCCCTAAAAAATGGGGGGGGAAAGGAATAACGAAAAGCGTAGCTTGAGGGGCTGTGGGCACTTGGCAGGTTAAAAGGGTCCTTCCCCAGCCCTGCCTCGGGAGAGCATCACCAGCACCGGCCATGGCGGGTGGCTGGGCGAGAGGGAGGAGGAAGAAGGGGCGATGGGGAGGAAGGGGCAAGGGGCTCCCCGGTGCAGGGCCCTGCCTTTCCGCAGGCAGACGAGCGCAGGCAGGGCCTGACCCCAGCAGCAGGGCTCAGGAGCTATTTATTGTGAGCATCCCTTCACTAGGAAAGCATTTGCCGCGCTGTGCGGCTGGCGGGGACACAATGAGTTTGTTCTGCAGCCCGGGAGAAGCCATCCGTATTTTCCATAGGCCTCCGACTGCAATTTAACATTAGTCAACGGGTGCCAAAAATAAAAGATCACCGGCTATACTGTCTCCGTTACAAACAGTTGCTGCTAGTCTAAATAATCCCCCGAAACGTCTAATGCCTGCATACCAGGGAAGCGTTTCAGAGGAAAATAATTCCTTTGTACTCCAGCTGGCAAGCAGATGCCAACCGGGAAAAAAATGCCACCTCCACCCAGGCTGCGGGGCGCAGAGCGGGCAGCGCTGGGCACGGGCAGCGCAGGGCATGGCCAGCTGGCTGGCAGCCAGCCCTCTCCTCCGGCTCCTGCACCGCATCCGTGCTGGGGAGCCGCGGGGCCATGTGTCCTGCAGAGCATCGGCAGGGCCTTGGCAAAACCACGGCACTGGGGCTCGTTGGGCTTGGCCATGGGGGACCGTGGTGGCCGAGCACAGGAGGAGCGGAGCCAAGGTCGGCGCAGTGCCAGCCCCAGACCACTCAGCCCACTGCAAGCCAATTTACTGTGGCCAGTGATGCCAGGTAAGGGGTTGCATCTCTATCCGTGCCGGGGCCGGTGGTGCTGTTAGCCGGGAGTCAGGCGGCAGCGGCAGGCTCGCACCGGGGAAGGAGCCGTGCCAGCGGCAGGCAGCTGGGAGGGACGGGGCACGCCTCAGCCTGCCAGGGTTTCCAGTCACTCTCATGTGCAGCCTGGCACGGCGGAGCCGCCGCCGTCCCCGCGGCCCTTCGCCCTGCCGAAACCGGATGCGCAGGTCACCCTTGCTCTGCCCTCGCCGACCTCCTCCGTCCCTTGCTGGCCCGCGGCTCGCAGGTGCCTCCGGGCTCCGAATTCAGCTCCCAGCCGGAGGGAGATGGGTTCCACACAGCTCCCACCCACCTCCCTCCCACCCAGAGCACCCCTCTCCTTTGGGTCACCTTCCCCTGGGACCCCTCAGGGTGCCCAGCTTGCCAAGTGCTATGTCTGACCTGCAAAGCCCCAAGTGGCCGGGGGCCAGCGTGCCCCTGCCTGGCCCTGGAGACCAGCCTGGGTCTCCTGAGGGTCCCCTCGCCTGACAGGGATGGGGATATTCTCAGTTTGGCCCCAAAATAGCCGGTGACCTGGAGGGCTGGGAGGGGAGTGCAGCTCCTCGGGCAGGCGTTTGGGGAGGGTCAAGGTGGGCGGGGGGTGAGCAGGGCCAGGCAGAGGAGACCCCGCGCATCCCGAGGGCTTTGTCCGGGCTCTGCCTGTCCCCTCTGACCCGATGCAGGGGGACAGAGGGGCCATCACCCACCGCGGCCAGACACAACGGCCACCCCAGCACCCACCGTGAGCCATCCCTCACAGGAGAAGGGAAATATTCCCCAGGCGCTCCAACTGGGATGTTCCTGCCGATGTGCTGGTCACGGGCTTTATTTTGTGTGACCTTCAAGGTCTTATATAAAGTCCCTCTCCCCTCTCCACCTCCTTCTCCCTCCTGTTTCCCCTACATGGTCTCCAAATCCATCACAAGGCAAATTGTGCTGATCTGCAGATGGCCGGCCGATGAGCAGTGAAATGGGCCGAAGGTTACGGGCTTAACACCCTCCGCGCGTCCGCCGGAGGCTAAAAATACGGCCCAGCAACTGTAGGGGGGAATCAGAAGGAGCGGCTCGGTGGGGTGCA